TGATAATTCAATAATAGCTTTTGTCTGTATTTTTTGAAACCATGTACCCCATTTTCCATTTTAGTACTATCTGTAAATCTTCAAAGGTTTTATTATTATTATTATTATTATTTTCCCACTATGCCTGAGTTATCTGAAAGGATTTTTCTTGCTTCCCATTAAGAAGTGGGAATATGACTATGGAGGGTACTTGTAGCACAACCCAAAATAATCCTGACAATCACTTGAAAACTTAAAATGGACCCTACCCTCACACAACATTGTCAACCCTTGTCTTCCAACTTTATAATAAAACTTACTCTAGTGTCTCATTGATTCACTGATGTTTGTTAGATAACAGATGCAAAATTAAACTTATTACCTTAGGTTTGTCTAAAAATATGTGATCCACCAGTTTAATCAGTACAGTCACAAAGGCTTTGGCATAGAGAGAAAAAAGTGAACAAATTTCACCAAACAGAGAAAGTGATTGAAGAGCGACCTGCAACAGACATGGGCCACAGTACATGCTTTTCAGTAATGACATGACTCAATTTTCTCAAGGTTTTGTGTGCAGTTTGCTTATAAACTTGACAAAGTTCCCAAGGTTGATGTTGTGTGTTGATCACATCATTTTTCACTGCACATTCACTGCAAGTATTGAATAATAGTGGCAGACACCATCTTCTGTTTTGATGTGCTTACCAGTACTTTGATTTGCAGACTTGTACCCAAGTGCAGATGGGTCTTGCCAATTTCATGGTGTCCAGCTATTGAAGGGTTGAGTAAATTCATGCAGTACATTATTTAAAATTTAAAAAGATCATAAATAAATAAAAATGAAAATAAATCCTTTTTCCTAGAGGTCTAGTTAGTCCATACAAAATGAATTACTTGGTGAGACTTGAGATCACAGAGGCTTCTTCAATAACTGGTTGTTGAAAACTATGTGAGTCCAGATTCTGATAATTCCCTCCAAGGCTCATGTGGTTTTCTGCAACCTGGCCCCATATTCAATTGATCTGAAGAGCCAAGCCACACTTCACATGCCCACAGTGTCCACAGGTTGGGGGGAACAGATTGTGAAGGATCAACCCACTGGGAGGCACAATGGAGCTCTGCAATTTTTTACTAAACCAATGGCGAGAGAGAATTTACCCAATGAGAACATTGACAATGGATTCTTTTGCCTGAACACCTCAAGCAAGGAGGTGGCCTTGAAAATCCTAATTCTCACAATGGATAGATCAGACAACACTGTATGCACATTCCAACAACAGATGCCCTATTTTGACCCAGCACCTATCAAGGTATATTAGTTTCTACTTGAATTATATTGAAAAGACTTCTGTCGCAATATGCTTGTGTTGCTTTGAAGATTGTAGGCAATTTAGGTAAAGTGCTAGCTAAAGATATGGAAACTAGTAACTTTGCAAAACCTTGGTTTTGTGAAGCTCTTGACATAAGAAACATTTGAAAAATTGAAATTGAGATAAAAGATTGTACATATTGCCATATAATCACAATATTAGTGTATTATGCCCACTTTTCCATAAGGTGGAGATTTTGCCTTGATGTACAACATAAGGTTAGATTTTGCCACCACAAACTTTGAACAAGTAAATAACAATCCAATGGCATCAAACCTCCAAAAACAAGCACAAATCTTATAAAATAGTATAGAAGAGACCACCACTCAATACACAACAAGGAAGGTGTCAATCAATACAAGACCAATATAAATATAGATGGCTTTATTATCATTGACAAAAGAACTGAGGGACCAAATAGGTATCCTTCAAATCAATGACATCATCACATCCTCTACATTCTAATGAGCTACAAACTTAGCTAAATGAGATCCTTCCTCAACTTCTTCCTTTTAATATTGCTACACTAGTACACATACATTTCTTCCCTCTCCAACATAACCAATTTCGACAAATTCCAATTAATTCCAACTATCGTTTAGGATGATCCATCAAAATCTCAAGTAAACAATATTTTATACAAGATCTCTACTTATAATTGCTTAATTACTAACTCTCTAACTTCAATGAATCTTATTTTGATTGTTGATACAAGTTTCTTTATGAGAAATAATTCAATTTCTCCAAAGCCAATTAGCTCTAATAATGAAGTACTCCATTTTGACAATGACGAATCTTTATCTCTTGCAAATCTTCTTTACCACCCAGCTAAAGTCAAAATAGAAGCCCAAGGTGCATGACTAGATGCACCTCCACCATAGTGTAATGCCCACCTTCACAAAAACTAACAAAATTTCTTAACATTAAGGCAATTCCATGCATAAACGCCCCCTCTTCCTTTCATGATTTTGATATCTATAACTTTCAATGTAAGAGGCCTTAATAATTGACAAAACATAGATAAAGTTTGAAACTATTTTAATAATATAAAAAATAACTTAGATGTATTTATGTTCCAAAAGCATAAGCTTTGCAATGATTGCATAAAAAATTATAGAAAGATATATGGCCAAAAAATGGACAATGGGCCATTAAAGCAACTCCGAGTTACTATATCAATGGTTTGAAAGAGTAGAGAAGAAGAAGATTATGTACATTTCTTCTCTTGATTTCATCTAGTAGAACCATCATAAATAATATGGTAGTCTACATTTGGTTTAGCAGTATCTCTAGGAGCAATTTAAAGATACTCAACCTATATGTATCTAATTGCCTAAAGAATTGTTGTATCATCTAGGAAGAGATCTTTCTAAATCTCCCTACTAATTGTCAATGGTAGATTAACAAAGAATTCAATATGGTTGAAAGATCCAACAATAAATCAACATTTAACTATTAGCTACTCTCTAGTAGTGAAAAAATTACATGGAAACAAGTGAAGTTTGTGTCTTATATCACAAATTCTTTAATATGCCAAGTTAAGCTTGATTTTTTTGAGATAATTGGCAAAAAGACGGCTATTGTATCTTTGAGTGACAAGATTGCCATTACATATCCGGAAGCCAATCTACAAACCTTTGTGAAGTAGTAAGAACATGTGTCATTCTCAGAGACAATACAATCTCTAATCATTTGCCAATTTGTATGAATCTAGGACTAATCGATAAAAGTTATTGGAAAAAGGAATACAAAATAAATTCCAAGTACTTCTTTGATCTCAAAGTAAAAGTTGCCATCACTTGGATATAGATTGAAGAAAGGCGACTCTAAGCCATGTTCTTCATGTGACTTTGATACTTCACAAAATGGTATAAATTCTTTTCCATTCAAAAAGCAAAATTCAATAGTTAGTCTAAAAAAGAAACTAGACTGGCTCTCATCCAAATTCAACAATTAATCCATGACAACCTCAACAATAGAACCATTTAGCAAGAAGAAGAAGAATATTGAAAAAAGCTAGTAAGTATCAAAAATTATAAAATAGATGATTGTAGGATCCAAATTAGGCTACAATTGAAGGTCATTGCTGATGGGAGAAATCCAAATTCTTAAAAGTAATTTGAAAAAAAACTTGCATATTCTATCTAATTTGAATTTAGTGGACAAAATGGAGAAACCATGATAAGTAACTTAGCCATCACAATGGCATACATTAAATATTTTTTAGAGTTATACAAGGAAGAGCCATAGGATTATGAGTCTATTAAAGCAAAAGTTGTTATACAAAAATCAATTCCAATAGATACCTCTCCTCTCATGACTTTTTCATTACAAAGTTTCTTTATCTGTGCTGAATTCCACACAACTACTATCAAAATGGCCATTGGCAAAGTCCTAGATTTAAACAGAGTTGCTATGGAATTTTTCATTATATTCTAAGACACCATTGGAGAAGATTACTTCCAAATGATATAAAGAGTTATATCACATGGCTTCTTTTTGCTTGAGATGATGAAGGATTTGATTACACTTATCCAAAAATGTGGAAAAAGAAATTTATTAGAGAACTAACAACTAATAATCCTCTTCAATGTGGTCTATAAAATTTATGCCAAAATTCTTTAACTTAGACTTCATAATTACTTACAAGGATTAATCAATTATGATTAGAGTGCCTTCTTTTGAAATCTTTTTATCTTAGACAATATTATGTTCATCCATGAAACTATATCATGAACCAAGAAATCTAAACAAGACACCATTTTTTTAAATTAGACTTTTTCAAAGCATATGATAGAATAAATTGGTAATTTTTTCTTGACATCATGGTGACTATGGGCTTTTTTCAAAATTTTATAGATATGATAAATATTATTCTCTTGAGTGCAAAGGCTTTTATGAATATCAGTAATCAAATAACATTTTCATTTCTAATTCAAAGAAGAATTTGTCAAGGATGTTTGGTGGCTTCTAACTTATTTCTATTAGTTGGAGAAGTCTTCAATGACAAGGTACAACAAGCTCAATGGCATGGCCTCATTCAAGGAGTTAGATTATTAAGTGCAATTTTACAACATCTCACTTTTCAATATATAGATGATACTTCCTTCATAAGTAATGTAGAGGAATTCTTTGTACCTAATTTGATTAATATTCTTGATATATTTAGGATGGCTTTGGAATTAATTATCAATTTGTCAAAATTCAATACATATTGGATTGAAAAGTCAGGCCCTCCCTTCCCATAGATACAAGTGTATCAATGGATATAGGTAGAAGAAAGCCACCTTGGAAAGCTCTTAGGTACTCTATATGGCCTCTCTATGAAGCCTAAAGAAGTTGACAATTTTCTTCTTAATGAAGTGAAGAAGAAACTTACATATTGGAGTACAATCAAACTCTCACTAGCTGATCAAAGACTAATTGTTAATCAAGTCCTCATGTCCACTCTTTGATACTTTGTTGGTATTTGGGGTGGTTCTAAGCATGTCATTAAGCACATAAAAGGTCTCCTTAGGAACTGCCTCTGGGTTGGACACAAACAAGAATTGCATGGAATGTTTATACCCACAAGAAGCAACTAGGAGGACTTAGCCTCACTGATCCAAATAATATAATGATTGCATTACTCAACAAATGGATGGTAAACGCCTATGAGCCTGATTGCTCTAACCTGCACTATTTTCTCCAATATAGAGTTTTATGCTATCAATTTGAGAAGAGAGGTCATTGGTACTTTGACCCCACTACCCTCTGATATGTAATCATCAATGCTTTACAGGTTCTAAGGTATGGAACATGGTCATAAATGCATGGAAACAAATAATAAACTAATTTCAATGGTGTAGGTTGAAGTCTTTTGAAGCAGTATTAAATGTTGGCCTATAGCACAGTCCTGAGTTTGCCAATAGTATACATCCCAGCCATTCCCAAAATCAAGGCACATGAGTTCAACTCAAATCTCAAAATAGTTCAAGATTACTGGGATCTTCTCACAAATTTTTTGCTCCCTCAGGCAGAAGTACAGGCCCACTTTGGCCTTCAAGATGTTGAGATATCTGCCTAGGATACGATTTCAAAGGCCATTCAGAACGAATTTGGCCACCTCTTCTCCACCAAAGTTGTTGCTCCAAGCCAAAATGATTGGTTGGATCTTTTCCTTTTGCACTAGCCTCTTGTCCTTGCCCTTGCATTCTGTTTTCATGTCCCAATGTGAACTGGAAACCACCATCAAAATCAGAGACCCTCCAAAGGACCTGTATATACTTGCACAGGAAATCCAGATGCTTGTGACCCTCCCTGATATTTGAATGTGGCTAACAGCCATGGAGGCTTTTCCATAGCTCTACTCAGTTGGGAACACCGAAGAAATGACACTTAGAGGTACATTACAAAAAATCAGAGTTACTGAGATCATGAAAGGAGTACACCAATATCATACCCAATTTTACTGTAGACCACTCCTTGACCTCCAGTTTGACCTGGAAAGATTCAAATAGCCAAGCAAGCTTTCTGTGCTAGCTTTCACCACCAAAGCCATACATGAATGCCTATACAGTACAAATATCCTACTTAATTTCCACTCCACCAAGTGGAAGAACTTGCTCCTACCCTCTACCAAATTTGACTGGAAAAACACTTGACTTAAGAAACAAATACAACAGGAGGACTCTGTCTAAGAATCTGGAACTAGTGTGTAATGATAATACAAGACATACAATGCAAGAAGAGCGAACCACCCACGTAGTTCAAGCATGACTAGCACCACTACCTTTTTTCAAAGAACTTGCTCAAAAGATTTAGTAAGGTCAAGCTAATGTGGACTCTACTGCACGGCATCACCCTCTGGGAACTCTAGCTGGAGCGAAATGCTAAAGAATTCCATGACGACGACTAGCCACTGGCACAAACAACCACTTGGATTTGGTGCAACCTGCCAGACTATAGTAGAATAGAGTGGAATGATTTGATCCAAAACTGGCAAATCTTGAAGATACTAATGATTTATGGTCCAAATCATTCGACAACTCATGGAGTAGTAATAGTGTACTTTGCTCTAGATCGGGCAGCCAGCTATACTGGCTCACGTATAAATGTAACACTTTGAACAGTAGACCATGATCCCATTTAGCTGGGTTGCACCATAACTAATGTTGAGTCACCAGTCCAGTCAGGCAGAGGTTTTTTTAACTCTATTTTTGCCTAGCCTTGTATCGGTTACTCCCTGCAATGAATACATATTCATTTGTGCCAAAAAAAAAAAAAAAAAAAAAAAAAACACACACACACACAGTGTCCACAGGTTGCAGCCATTAGATGTAGATGCAATGGAATTATTGCTTCTGCAACACGTCATTGTGAACAAACAAATCGAAACCACTGCAGATGCCTTGCGCTCTTAAATCCTTGATTTTGTCGGCTATGGTGGATCCTTCTGTACCCGAGAATCCAAGTTTGGCACAACTGCATACAATCTCCTCCATAGCAAGTTTGACATGAGTATTTTTATCTAACATTGGAGATTGGGCCTGATTTTGCTGTATCCTTTTCACGTTTGAAGTGAAGCCCACCAAGAAGCCAGACTCTGCTGTGAGTACTCTCCTGCTTGCTTCTTGTATCAAATCATTCCTGGTGTCGATCTTGTGCACTTGAAACAGATCTCGAGAATCCAGAAGCTCTTTCAGGTCTGATTTAGTCCAATTTTCAAAAGAAAGATCGGTCATTAAAAATAAGGAAGTTGGATTACTGGACCCAAGTGCCGAATTAAGTAACGTTAGCTCGTCTTTAAAAAACTGAATTGTCGAATTCCAGTGATTCTTAAACTGCCCATCCAGTAATCTCACTTGAGCACAGTAAAACGGTTGAGCTATTTGTTCGCGGATGTATGATTTTGCTGCTGCGACAAGGTCCAAAGAATACGGAAAGACTTGGAGCGAGTGAATTAGGTCATCCAAGTCCTTGTCTCCCGACGGTGCTCGAATGTCAATGTGTGATATAATCCCTTTGTAACTCATGCTGAACATGCTTCCGAATGCCAAGACACAAAAATTTCCAGCAAAGGAATTTGACCCTAAAGAACTTTCGATTGTCAGTACTTCTATCTCCGACCTCGTTGCCTTCTCTGCTTTCCATTCATTTGACAAATTTTCTGCCAGTAGAGCTCGACGTCTTGCACGCTGCACCCTTCGAGTACTGTCGTTGCGCGATTCCTGAACGCCAAAAGATGCGTGATTGTTTTTCAGAGATTTCGGATAATTTTTCCAGATTGTTGAGGTGCAGTCATTGTCAACATTATGAACACAACAATTCTGCGGAGTTCGTGGCAAAGGGTTAAGTAGCTGAGCACAAGTCGCATAATTGCGATCGACAAAGATGCCAGAAAAGTTTTTACACAATGAACCTCCACAAGCAGCTTTAATATCAACATTACACCAGAGAGATAGAAAGATTCGCAGGTCGATGGTTTTCACTTTTGATGGCGTAATAGAAGATAAATCGATTATATCTGCTATTGAAGTATACCTGCCACTGCAGCACCACACCATTAAGATTATTACTATCCCCTTGTACATTCTGCAGGATGGTGATATCACTACCAGGCATTGAAGCATGTTCTATAAATTCAAGGACAACTTTCATTTAAAGTTTTCCTTTCGAATGCTGACAAAAATCTCTGTTGCAAAGACTCTTTCTTCAATTTTACAACAGGCATGATCTCCAAAGAAGCATCAAAGCGAGCAGCCAGTTTTCTAAAAGTATTTTTTTATGTGCATTTATATATATATATATATATATATATATGCACATTTACATACACAAGAAGGAATTTTATCTCGATTTCAGAAAAAATATTGATGCAGTATATTTCTTTTTGATGGTAACCAACAAAGCATGTAATTAAAGTCCTAAACAGAATCGGTTTTAGAAAGTTGTCTCCTGTAGTTCTGATGGAGACTTTGCAAATTAATGAAAGGAAGTGCAAAAGATTACATCTTCTAAAGCTAGAAAGGCCATGCAGCGACTCAAGATGAGACACTATCATCAGATCAACTTCTTCTGTGCTTACAGCTGGGCAGAGAACCCGCTAAATACATCACCCAGCACGCATTTTCCGGTAACAGTTCAAACACGAGCTACTCTTATTACTCCAAAGTGAACAGAAATTCATTTAAGAATGGATTTCAACACTATTTTTTATTATATCAAGATTCCAGTACGACGAGAAGAACTTTGACCAACTGGACGCAGTGGAAAACAATGTCCTCTCCTCTTTGTAAGCAGTACACGATCACAGTTCACTACCAATTCAAACGCGATCAAAGAGAATATGATGGGAATTGCTCATGATCAATTAAGATTGAATGCGGGAAGTACTGGCCTGGAATTTGTTAACAAATCAAAGATCTTCGTCCAGACGAGGGCACGGAGACGATGTGGCCGCAACACGCGTCTCTTAGGACAGCTGCCCAACCACGCTGCATGATGATCGAGCACGGGAGGAATGATAAGAGTTCGATTTAAAATTTTTGAGAACAGAAGCGCGTTCCGAAGCTCCGACAACTGATTGTTGAAGCCGCTATGCGGTGAATAGTACATAAATTTCTCATCGTCCTCGATAAACTTCTGCTGCCCCAAGAGCTTCTCCACACCTCGCCTACTTCCATTTTTCTGAGGGAAATTGAAGATGCCTGAATTGCACTGCATACATCGAGGCAGGCCAGATTTGGTGGCCACGCCCACTGATACGACGTCGACGCCGATCATGAATTTGTCCATCAAGCTATGGTGGACGCCAACGAGGAACAACGCAAATACTAACGACGCCGCGCATAACCAGCGAATGTGCACAAATCGTCTCACGCTGTTCCACCCATTGCAGCCTCTCTTTCCGTTGGTGAGTTCTTTCTTGCTCTTCATTATGGTCCCGTTGCAAACTCACTATATTATCCTGCATGGAATCTCGAGGGCAGCGTCCATCCTATCCACCGATACAAGTACCCAATAGCTATTCTTCATGAAATCCAATGCTGTTTGGCGCTATTTCCATGAGAAGATTGACGAGGGGAGACTTCAGATGAGTAGCCACATGCAAGCAGTCATTCGACAATCGTATGTTTCAAAAATGTATATATTCAAGAAATGGGCACACGCCCATGATGCTCGACCAAGATATAGCAAGTGATGTGTCTGTAGGTCTTTCTTGCCATTAGTCCACATCTGATTGCCACTCGCTCCGCTCACAGCTTTAGTTAACACGAACAATGGTGCAGGTTATTAATTTAACAAGAAAGTGACTGTCTTCGTGCACAAAAACGCATTCCCATCCAGCTCGGTGTAATTGTGGTCACTTCGTCATTCATTTCTTCTGAAGAGTACATCCACCTCTCCACATCAAAAATTGAAGATCAAGACATTAGCGAAGCTATGATGGTGATCATCTTCGGACCTGGCTCTATTTGCGATTCAATTTCGCTGTGATTCAATTATGACGAGCCCATCGTTGTGTGTGTAGATAAAGGCATCGTTGATTTTTGAAGCACTAATCAACTTAATGATTAAATGTTGCTGTCAAAGCAAGTGACAAATTGGATACAACTGCATGTCTACGCAAGCAATTCCGGTCCTATCTTGATCATTTCCTGTGAATTCAAGATTAAATCATGAAGACAAAATCTCATGCGGACTTGAATGTCATTGAAAACCTGCATGATGTAAACCTCTATGCTACATCATGATTCACTCAACTCCAGTTAGAAATCTCAGAGAGCTACAATTTCATAGCGATTGGACATTGTACTCTACCACAGATGACTCCTGACACAGATTGATTAACACTGATAACGTGATACAAACCTTGTCAACTCTTGAACACACACAGACTGTCCATCCGCGAGGCCATCCACCAGTATTGTCAACTCATTCTTAGCAGTCTTTCAAATAACGCAGCGTGTCCGAACTTACACAACCAAAATTCTCATCCAACCGATATTTTACAAGATACATGCCCCATCGTACTCACACTTTCAGCACAACATTTAAGGCTCTCCACAAATTAGAAATCATTTCCTCAACTGCGACAACCCTGTAGTAGGGCTGTAAGGCTCTCTCGCCCTACGAACCAGAAACAAGTTCCCCGAGCTTTGAAATTGTAGTTCACCCTCACAATCTTGGCAGACCATCTTACATGGCGTTCCAGTGATCCTCTTCTCGGTCAGGATGCCAGGCACAGGTACAGGTACTGTGGCGCCGAAAGCAGCAACCAGTTGAAAAGGAGACACATGGAGAGGATCGCCGAGGAAGGGCTGTATTTCGAGGCGCAAGCGATATGCGCTTCCGTGAGGACCAGAAAGGAGGTACATACCTGCTGCATCACCAGAGTCTGACCTGCCCAAGGCTATGGCGTCACGTTACGGTGGAGATGGTGCGCCTTCACCCTCCCATTCTACACCGAGAGTTGATCTAAATCTACAACGATGAAGAGGAAGAAGAAGAAGAAGGAGCCAGCTATTTCGGGTAATAAACTTGACTTTTATTTTAATTCTCAATATTAATTTTAAACAACACAAGGCGAACATCTCTTTGCTATTATTTTACAAATCAATGATGTTTTCTCAAGATATATTAATAAATTCCCCTAGGCATTCTCAAAGTTGTGTTAGAATTATGGTCTTTGAACCAGGTTGTTATTTTTTTACTTCAAATGGCACTATGGCAGAGTAAAGCTGTGCCATAAACAATCATCCTTGTTTTCCCTTCAACTTCAGAGAGAATTTTCCAGACTGATGTCACACAGTTTGATTTTAGTACCTCTGCAATTCATTAAATAGCCATCAAGCCACTTGTTCCTTTTGGCTAATAATTTTCATGCCCATCCCCCTCTCCCACCACTTTTTGTTGTTTGTAAAACCAAACATCACCAGAAAAAATTGCTAATTGGAGTATGTATGCATGTGTGTGCACATATAGACACACACATTAAAACAAACCATGAGTTTCAATGTCTTTCCAAAACAATATATACACACACATGTAGGTTAATTTTGAACCTATTGTTTGATTGAATAGATTCTATTCATAAATTAAAATAGTAATAAAAATCCTTATATATATATATATATATATATACATATGGCTTCTTATCTTTAAAAAATCAGTTATGATTCCATTCTAAACAAAACTTATCCATCATTCTACAACATGAATAATTCAAATATAAGACTTACAAGTGCAAGCAAAGATTTAAAAAGATAAAAGACCAGCAGCACCAAAATTGTATAGCCATTCTTCTGCCTTCTTCATGTAGTGCTCTTGTTGTGGATGCTACACCAATATCCTTAATTAGTGAGTACCACACTATTTGCAAAGTGTGGAAATAAAACAATCACTGCATAGCATCACTCCTTCAGATACTTTGTTCCATTTAAAGCTAATTGTTAATTTTTATTTTTTTCTGTTGAAATCCAATTTTTGAATCTTTTGTGGTTGCCTTTTGCATATCAATATCTACACCAATATCCAAATAGTGCAATACATACTACTTATAGATATTGGTGCAAAAGCTGAGGAGGAGGAAGAACCACCTCCACTTTTCTTCTCTTAATGTTGAAGTTGTGGTAATGGTGGTGGTAGTAGTAGTAAGGTAGCCAATCCATTGTTAACCACTCCACCATTTCTAACTACAAGGTGATATTTCTGCTGATTGGTGACCTATTATTGACTAATTTTGACATTTTGTGGTCAAAAATAAGTTAAGAGCCTACCAAAAATGATGTTAAGTTATAAGAAATATAAAGAATTCATTGTACTTGTAATTGATATGCATAAACTATCAAAAATAAATTTTTGCATTAGTAGAGTTGCACATATGCAGCAATTGATTTTCGTTTGACAAATTGAGAGTCATTGGAGCAAGATCAAAAGATAGAGGATATGTGAGATATTGTTTGGAGATAAGTGGAAACAAGGAAGAATGATGGCAAAAATCCAACTTAAACATGTTGGATTACTTACAATCAAATGTTTAAATTTTTATTGCCTCATCCACACATTTACATCTACAAGTAGTACAATATTAGTTGAAGTTTGATAGCATAATTAAATTCTATACATTAAAATTTTATAAAAGTTGGATTCTTGGTTTTATAATGGACAACCAATCAAAATTAGATTGGCCTAATATCAAAATATCTTAAACCACTAATTTAAGGCTTTTCAGCTATTTCAAGGGGGTTTTTTTTTGGAAAAGATATTTTTTTTGGTAGAAATTTAAGGTTCTAATGTGCTCCGAAAAAAAAATACAAATACTATAATGGTTTAATTGATATAAAATTTCAAAGAGCTTTACACTTTGAGCTCTTAAACCAATACATAGACTTGGACAAAACCATCCAGAAAAACACATTAAACCATCACCTACATCACTCTAAACCACCAACTTCATTCTCATAAAGTTTGCCAATCATTGATGAACTTGGAATGGACTTGGTTTTTCTAGAAGAAGAATGGTTGGTTTTGATTTTGTGTAAGGGCGGCTTCTAACAAGGTCTATGGGTTGGTTTAGGGGCTTGGCATAATTTAAGGTATTCCAACATTATATATAAATAAATAAAAATGGATTGTTGTGAATCTTCAACTAAATTCTATCTTTGGGCCAAAATTGTGTGAAAAAACTTGAAATCCTTGTGATTTCTATTTCCCTACCCATGGGTATTTAAGTTATCAGAAATGGGTTGTCTACCTTAGTAGTAGCAGATTAGTCTGCATTGGCATTTGTGAGAGAGAGAGCCCATGATGGCAGCAGCAGGGAGCACCACCCCCTGGTGGTGGGGGTGGGAGACAATTGTGGCTGCATCTGATTTGCACCACCAGCCTGTTCAGACCCAGACACAGACCCAGCCCTGACCCCAGTCCAGTTCTGATGGGCACCTGATAACCCAGGAATCTGAAGATTTGGGAAACTTCCAGGGCCTCCTTGAAAGTGGAGTTGCCCAGAGAGAGAAGTGTCAGTTTTGTGAGTTGTCAGCCAGCCAACCATTTCATTTTCCAGTTTCTCTTTTGGGAGATGAGCTATTGCAATTCCATTAGCTTTGCTGCAGTGGGGGCTGCCCCCTTCTGAGGCTTACTATCCCTACTACACAAAGCAAGCTCCGGCAGACAGGAAAGGGAAATATCATTCTCACTCCTCATTTACTGGCCCATGTCACTCTGTTTTTTTCGTGTTTCAACAGACAGGTTCATTCTACTTTTGTTTGTTTCTTTCTTGGATGTTCAGAATAATGTTACTTGTTGTGTCTGTATCATTCTAATACCATTTGTTTTATCTTAAGTTGTAGATTCTTCACTCATTTTTCTCATCCAAATGATTCACTACAACCATAATGAGAAGATTCACATGAAAGTATGTATACACATACATACATATATACCTGGAAAAATTATTTACCCAACATTAAAATTGTAGTCACCTTCAATTTACATTGAGCTAAAACACGTGCTCCTGCAGCTGTTACTAATGTATGATATGTATACTCATCACAGACAACTTGTATAACCTTGAATCATGTGCATGAGTGCCCTAACTTGCAGATATCATTAGTTTGTCATACAAGTTCGTCTTTTTCATAACCTCTCTTGTGTTTGATTCAAGATTTTGGGTAAGCTTGCAGGATTTTGACATTGATTCTTCTACTACTACTAGTAATAGTTATTACTGAATACCAATTTGTGTTGATGAAATGAGTGGGATAGATGTGACCACCAATGTGCTTGAATTAATAACCAACATATGGTACTTGTACCGCACAAGGGCACCCACCACCCCCTACCCTCTTTTTCATCCATGTTGGCAAGGCACATGCAAGGAAATGAACCCAACAAAACGGGTACAGAGACCATCCATGAAAGTATCTGTTCATCCATCTTTGCATGGATGTCAAAGGTGGGGTTTCTGACTAAGAAGAGCAACCACAAAGGGTGCCTTCAGTTCACATGCCTACTCAAGTACTAACCCCACTAGGGAGCTCGTGTGTGAAAGGGACTTGCCACTAGATGTTGGCTCAAAGGCCCCACATGCTGTAGCCTTCACCCTGCACTTCACTTGGTTCTTAGCAGCACAAGCAACCTTTTTAATATGTACTTAGAGCTGCATGAATGGCTCTACAGAGCTCCCCTCTCTCCCCCTCCAATACTCCAACACACAAACACCCAGCGAAAGATGCCTATTGTTTTGATTCCAACCAAAATCTGAAAGCTATTCCTCATCCTCTCAATTATTAGTGTACATTTGTTTTTATATATATGTATATATATATATATATATATATATACCCATTCTTGAATGAATCTTAGAAAGAAAAGACAAAATACGTATGAGATTCATGATTATATATATATATATATATATAGAGAGAGAGAGAGAGAGAGAGAGAGAGATATTTATTGGACATTCTTCTGAATCAGGTACCCACATTTCATTGTTGGAAATATCTGAGAATGCTGCCTTAATAATTCATGGTTGCCTAACCCTCCTTCAAAGGTTTTTAGCTGTCCAGAATGAGGTTTGTTGGTACCTTACAAATCAGTAATGGTTTAAAAGGGAGGCCCTTTTCAAGCATCCCACAGGTATAGCTGTTACTGCGATTACCTTAGTAAAAAGAATAGTTGAAAGAGCTCAAATTTACCCAAATACATGTTGCAGTTAAGTGAAGGCTGTACCAGGCAATGTGAGTAAATATTTGAGTACTCTACCTGAAAACAAAAATGTTGGTCACAAGTTGCAAGGAGTCATCAGTGAAACTCTTAACCTTGATCTTGTTAGTATAAACCCTAAACCTCAAGCATTGTTGCCTGCAGGACATTCAGTATTTGTATAAGTATATATTGCAATGATAGCTGTTGTATCCAAGTCTTACATTCAAGTTTTCCAATTATATATATATATATATATATATATATATTTCAGACATACAAACAAATGTTTGATGTTGATATATCTAAATAAAATTACTACCAACTTTTACCGGGTAACAGCTCTCAACCAACATCACTTTGTCAAATGTCCAATTTTTTAATAGATCTTGTTAAGTGAGAATCTTATGTAAATCATATAACTAAAGTTAGTTTGTGCTTAATTTTTTTTCTGGAAGAAAAACCAGTGTTGCTATAAAAATGACATATGAATAAAATAACTGACATTCAAACTTATATATTAGTAATTAAAACTATTGACATCAAGATTTAAAGCAATGATGGAATAGAAAATCAAACATAGCCCAAACCAAATATTTTAATAAGAATTTTGAAACAACAATATCAACAAGAAAATATACAAATTGACTTGAATTTAGAACTGTGTTGGATTTCAAGGAATAAAAAATTTTAGAGGCAAAATCCAAACATATTTCAAAGCCATGAATATGCCTTAAATTAGAGTTTCAAGTTTTATTTCAAAACTGATGAGTAATAGTAACATCAATATACATAAATTTATATAAATTAATTCTTTAAATCAAATGTAGAAATAAATCTCAATTTCATAACTTTTTAAAATAAAAATGTTCTACACATTATTATGTTTAACATCATTAGAGCTTGTTTACAGCTTATTAAAAAAAGTCATCAGTTTTGGCAATGTTTAGACCCGTATCTAATATTTTCTACCAGTATGGCATGTGTAATCCTCGGTACACCCAGCTGTCCTCAAAGAAAATTCTGTTTTCTTTGTTTTATTTAAAATCAACAAAAAAAACATTACACTGAGTTGGTAATTTTAAATCTATTAATCTGATATTTTGTTCAATACATGGTGTAAGAGAAAAAAATAAAAATAAAATGTTATTTTGTTCTAATTTCATGGCAGAGATGGTCGTTTGATTATATTTGCTTTTATTTTTTTAAAGTTTTTGTAGAAAACGTTTCAGTATCTAGTATGACCCGTTATGTTATAATCCATTACCTGTATAGATTATCTTTGCCATCACAGGCAGGTTTTATACAGAAGAAAAAGAACTATAATAACACTAAAAAGTAACAAAACCCAGTAACAACAATTTCATTAAGAAAAATTACATTATTTGGGTGAACGCATTGGCATTTCACCAACTCCGCCTTCAATCGAGGTATTTGTATTTCTCATCCATAAGATGAATGCCGGAGCATGGGATGGACACGACATTCATCCACGAGACCGCAACGGACTGACACTACTCCAGAGCGTTTGGATCGAATAGCATATGAAACTTAAGAACATTAACTATCAAAACTACAATGGTGGATAGATCCTTTCATGGCATCAATCGCTTATTGCTCTGGTGGAACTTCTGGGCAGTGCAGCGAAGTTAAGTCCAGCTTCATTTAAGTGAGGAGAATGCCTTGAAAAGACCAACCTAGTGAATACAGTTTTCCATTAATTTCAGTCTCGGAGATTCGGCACCTTTTGTTTTCACCTGGAGTGAAACTTGAGTATTTATACACAATTTTGGCAGGAGTGGTAGAGTCATCAACTTTTTGCATGTATACTCGTGGACACTACGGATTCAAAATGATCTACGCACATGGATCATTTTCTGTGGAACAGAATACGGGGAGGAATCAATGGGGCCGATTCAGAGGGAGGAAGATCTGAGTGAATACAGCCACTAACCACGAAGAGTCCACTGCATTGCGACGTTACACAAGAAATGGAATCCAATGCCAATTGACTCGCATCGCTCGAAGTTACGGAGTTTTGGGTGCCGACTTACCAAAGGATCTCTGAGTGCCAAGTGTTGGAAAATTGGGAAGTGGGTTTGTGAAGAGTGCGAATTGGATCGGTGCAGCAGCAGCTGCGATAGCTTGCAGCGTCCTCCGTGGTGGAATTCATGGAGGAATGCAGCAATGGTCGCTGGTTTCCCCCTTCTGGTTTACCAACAAAAAGGCCGTGTCTGGAGAGGATACGGATGGGGATGTTCGATTGACTTCGCAGAAGGAGGTTGTCGAGCATGTACATGGTGCCCGCTAATTCTTGAGGGTGATATGAAGTGAAATTCCCGTATGAGCAAACAAAGGAGGGATCCCGAATTCCTCGTCGTGGTCGTCGTCGCAAGCTTGGACTTGCAGTGTACCGCACAACCCATGCAGCCATTCAGAGAGCTGGAACTTCAGGGGGAGAAGTGGCATGGAGCGCGCTGTGGAGATTGACACGTCAGAGGCGATCGACGTTGTAGACCGAGCATTGTTGTAGAAATCCACGTTGGTACCGAGGGTTTTGTGTGCACCGTAGAAGTAGTGGTTGCTCAGACTTGGCAGTAGCAGGTAGCTCGTGTCGTACGCGGGAGTGGTGAGTGGCAGGGGGGCACAGATCGGTCAGCAGGAGACTAGCTGCCAAGCACAATGAGTAAAGGAGCCATTTATCGTAGGATCAGAGCCGCCTTAACTGCACTGCTATCATGTTCAATTCCTCCACCTTTCCCTGTCGTCCGCATTTATTCCATCCCATTCTTTTGTGTTGCTCAGAGTCTGTTAGATTCTACCTCCGTCTCTGAAGGTGACGAGTCGACTATGTAAGGAGGTGATTCTTGAAAGAGGGCTCGTAATGGCTGCCCCCTTCCGCTGGATTGCTAACCTCGTTGAAGAGGACGTACACATTACACCAGGGACGCTGAGGATCGATGTAGCTTCAGCACGAGAGCTGGCGGAGCATCAGTGGAAAAGTGACTAGGGAATTAATCGCTCGTGTTGGGATAGACGTGAATGACAGCCTGCGTGAATAGCGTTGGTACGGGTGATGTTTATTTGTCGGATTCAGGAGACGAACTGCGGCTGTGTTTGAATAGGATAGTTTGCCAGCTCCAGGTGTGGCTCTCAGTCCATACTACTCATCGGAGGGAGTAGTAAAACTCGCTTGACTAGGATCTTTGCGCTCGAGGCTTTGTTTTGTAACGCATTGTATGCGGGCGTTGCATTCAATGGGTGTCCGTAGCGCGGCCTTACGACGTTTTAGCGACTGTGACATGACAAAGAAGAGTTATGCTACCTTGAAACGTGGGAAGGTGCTGGCTGAAAGGTTTCAAACTTAATTGTTGGTGCTGAGTTGCAGATGAGAGGTGGAGAAAATGCTTGCTTTTGTGATATCCACAGCTGAAATGCTGCAGACTTTGTAGGCTTAACGTAGAGTGTGATGGTTGGCATGGGAGTTGTTCATTGCTGAAGGAGTCTGAGATTGGGGCAGTCGGGACAGAACCTCAACATGGCTTTCCCCGCTCCCCCAGAGGACGTTCTGACCACCCCACGGTTCGCATTTCGGAATTCGATGATACCGCGCCCAGTGACGAACAAAGAGGACGATGGCTTGAGTCCCAAGTCTGTTATTGTGGACAGGCGCTTCGTAAGTCCGGCATCGTCTTCGTCAAGCAGCATTGACCGTCGCACGTTATCAGAAACTAACCTGCACAAGGGTCAGCCTCGCCATGACCGCGGCTACTCAATCTCAGACGGAGAATTCAGCGATTCTGAATCTTTTGTAGATTATTCAGGAACTTCTCGAGAACTTGGAAAGGTGTGTCCGCGCCTAGCCTGCGTAACAGTAATCCTTCTTATAATGGTTGTCCAGCAACGCGCAATATATGTGGACGAGGACGTCGTTTGTACTGTTTCAAGTTTTTTGGTCTTATGTTTTGAAGGATTTCAAACTCTGAGGAACATGTTACTTGATATTGCGTCGCCATTGATGGGTATTGTTCACATTAAAAACCTTACATATCTTCTTGGCAGGTTGGAAACTCGGGGCCATTAGAGTCTTTGCCAGAAACCCATTCTTTGGCGTTGGATACTACAAATTCTACTATCTCGTCGGCAGTAGAGATGTCCAGAGCTTCCACGACGAGCGAGTCGAGGGATGGCGAGTCTAACTGTCCATTCTCTTCACCATCCTCTTTGAGTGGTCTGGAAACTTCAGCGCCGATAGCTCTTTCCGCATTAGTTGAACGAACCAGTGACTTTGGAAGGGGTGAGCAAGAATCTTTCCCACACCATTCTGTCACATTTACGGAGTGCCAAATTCGACAAGAGTATATATGGAAATGCTTCTACCAATTGCTTTTGTGTTAGCCCAATTGGGAGTTTTCACTCATTTATTCACCTTGATGTAGACATGTCATCCAATCAGCTCTTGATTCGCATTGATGTACAGCAGATGTCGAAACAACCTCATTATTCGCCCAAAAAACTGAAAGTAATAGACTTCCAAGTAGCAGAGGATCAGTAATACCTGCATACAAAGCTGCTGGTGAGGACGAGGATCAGATTTATCAACTTAGCGAGTGGTATCAAACCTCAACTTCATCTGATAGCGCCTCGGACCAGGAAGGAAAGGAGTCCTCCAGCTCCTCAACCGTACTATATGCAGAATCCGACAATGGAACTCGGCGTAGAGAAATCCATATCTCCCAATCTCAAATACTTTCATCAGAGCTCTCAACAAGTGGTTCGAATCGACTGGAGAGAGAGCTAGAAGTCACCAAGAAGAGGCTCGTTGCTCCAGGTGCGGCGAGCAATTTTGGCTACATTCCTGGAACTCCCATGCGTTTCTTTCCAGTTTGGCATGGACTCTCAGGGACACCTCTAGTAAATAACCCTCCTGCCCTGTATTCGGCAAGCCCGCGAGTTGAGAAAGGTATTGGATCCTCCAGTCCTGCTAGTGCAACAGGTACGCACTCCTATCCTCTCCACTGATCATTAAACTCGTGGGTAGTATTCAGTCGATGATACATAATCGTTGATCAGTGCAAGTCAAAGTGCAAAATTCTAAGTGTCACGGTCGACTTTGGCTTCACAGGTCTGACTACACCCCTTCGCTACCAGCATCGGTTTCTGTCTGGTCCAATCCTGGGCAGTATGATTCCGAAACCGCCTCCGTCGAAATGGGACGATGCTGAGAAATGGATCGTTAGTCCCGGCCATAACGAGGCGTCTCCAGTGCAACCCCCTATTCGACCATTGCAGGCTCATGCACCAGGTGGGTCCATCCGTTCGTGAAACCGAACCTCTCAAAGGATCGTCTGTTGTTTTCACAACTCTTGAAATGGCTGATACTTGATCCAGCTTGTTGACAAACATACTCGGAATGATAGCAGGTCGAAGGCATTCAATTGCCGGTGCTCAAAGTTTACGTTCACTTCATGAAGTCGGCAGTCCAGATTACTTAACCGCTGCAGGAGAGAAGCCCATGTCTCCTAACTTGGAGAATGTATCTGCAAGTGCTGGTAAAATTGAAGGGAAAATTGAAGGCAATACTCTGAAGAAACGCTCTAAAGCACTTTCATTTGGTGATCTTTCACGAAGGTTTGACCTTTCTCGTGCATCTGGTAAGCCACCAGCAGCCCAGCCACAGGACAGACTGTTCACGGAAGACAACGATGCTCAGGGGGCAGGAGCTTCTGTCCCATCATCTACGGATGCTCTAACTATATCCACTGTTGGTGATGAAGCTAGAGAGTTGACTGCAGCGCCATCAGCGAGGGAAGCAGGGCAGCAAGCACAACCTCCAGTTGGCGTCTCAGAGATGAAGCTCTCAGGTAATGGCACATTGTTCTGACCTGAATGTTAACGGACAAAGGTTTCTGATCGAATTTATTAGTATCAAGTGGTGATGTAAATTGACACATTCACCGTTACGCAGGTAGCTGCAAGGATAGTGGAGTTATGAAGCATGGACGTTCCGTATCGATGAAGGAGATAAGCGCGGTGGATCCGTTGGCTGCAGAGCCTGTCTCATTCCAATCTGCAGCAGCACGCTGTAGGGATATGGGAACTCAGATGACTCCAGTTGAGAGTCTGAAGAATTCAACTTGTACAACACCAGGGCTTGCTATTTCGCCCACTAGGCATAACACTCCTGCACGCTCAGGAACACGTCGGGCTGCTTCACTTGGGGATATTCCCGGAGGAATGGAAGCTCTTGAACTTCAAAGCTGCCACTTGGCTAAACTGGGGCTTCGTAAAGTGGCAGTAGATGGCCAGCCCACTCTGGACCGAAACATTGTCTGGACCACGCGTGAGGAGGAAGAGATGGAGAGCTCTGCAAGTCTGAGAGAAGCGCATTCAGAAGATCAGGAGAAATCCCGAATAGCTGCGAAGGTTTCAGCGTGGGTAGAGGCTGAGCAAGCAAAAGCAACAGCCAGGTTGCTATCAATCTTTATTTATTTATTTATTTAATTAATTTTATTACCATGACGTTCAGTGCAACCCACATCGTGATGCTTTTCAAAATTTGTGGTAACGATGAATATTTGGATTCAAGTTTTAGAAGCGTCTTCTTCAGTATTCCAGTCGCGGTTCAATTCAGGGGGTTGAATGTACAGGTATAAGAACAAAGAGGCCAAGATTAAGGAATGGGAAGAGCTCCAAAAAGCCCAGTCTGAAACTGACATGAAGAAGATCGAGGTATGTGTCTCACTTATTCGTTATGTGGGAGAAGCCAGCTATGAATAATTTCAGCTTCCATCCATCAACGAAGTTGGATAGTTTTGATAAAAGTTGAAAAAGAAGCTTGAGTAAGACCCAACTGATGAAATCATGCTCCATGTAGGCGAAGGTTGAGAAGATTCTAGCAGAAGCCAATGAGAAGATGAAAGGCAAACTGGCATTTGCAGCGAAGAAGGCTGCGGAGATGAGGGCAGCTGCTCAGGCGTTGCAAGACGAGCAAGCTACCAAAACCGCCGAGCGGGCAGAGTTGATTCGCGAAACGGGCCTTCTCTCTCCTCCTACTCGCTATTCTTTCAGATGCTGTTTTCTAGCCAAATAATCAATCAGCTCCTTTTAAACAACCATGCTACTCCCCCAGCGACTTAGTAGCAGTGTCGGTATTATGAAACCTCCTAGCATTACCCTAGTGTCTGGTTTGAATTCGGTCTGAAACTGGAGCATGTGAGTTGGGATGTGGAGCTCCAAATCTGCTACGCTTAAAACAAATCCACTTCTTTACTGGGAACGAGGATTCTGTGGATCTTTTCACGACGTGTTGTGCTTATTTGCTCTCTGGGTCTTTGTTTAGTGCACGATGTGATAGATCAGAGCCATGGAAGATGAGAGTGAACCTCACAGTTCGGTTTCGCCATTAGCTGCGCCGGGGCAGAGTTGAGCCTATAGTTTTGAGAAAATGGTGCATGAAAGATCTCACCCAAGTGCCATAGCTCCCAAGATGCAGGGTGTTGTTGCAGCTCTCTTCGTTTCTGAAATGAAATGTTCCGTGAAATGAAACTGAATTGTTATCTACAATCTACTCAGGATTTGGATTTTACACATTGTATGTGCACATATACGTTCACGAAATTCATAACATGCAAATCCTGTGTTAAAACCAACAGACTTCCTCCATCGAAATATTCTGCAAACTTTGAAGCGCGCAGTGTTTTTACAGTCATCTCGTAAGACATGTACATGGAATTTGTGGGACCTGCAATTTAGATTCACAACCGTGGTAAGGTCGATACAAAATTCAAGGAATCGAAGCCGTCGGTCGCGTGAAGTACCAAGCTCACGCGGCTCCACGTGATCGGAAATCCATCACCAAAACGTAGTCCACTTGCAAGTGGGACCTGGTTCAGCCTGAAACTTACCACGTGGTAGAACCCCACCTTCAATGGTCCTGGCGAAGGGACAATTGCGAACCAACCAGCAAATCGTGGAGGCGACTGTTCCACCTGCCGAGGCGCCCTTTCCGCCTCAGTTCCGCTAGACCAAGTTTCGATCACCTTCACTTTCAGCTGTTCGATCCCTGTGCTAATGCCATTCGCCAACGTTAGCATTCCAGCTCTTTGCGTGAACTGCAAGATTATGTAGCAGGAGGCTTTTTGTGTAGCCAATTAGCTCCGAGCAATTGTGAATTTTAGTCCTCTGGTTCTTGTGTGCCCAGGAGTGGAAGCTTGTGGGTGTAATCGAGAAGGCTGAGGGGATTGATTTCTGTCGGGACGCTTGCTGGTGTTGATTAGTTGCTTGAAGGCAATTTTTCTGTGACCTATATTGCTCGGAGCTTGAGAGTGCAGTTGATTGATGATTAGGGTTTTGCAGCTCCAGGAGCAGGAATTGGAAAAATGTGTACAGGCGTACAGATCGCGTGATATTGTCAAATCACTGGATGGGCGTGATCGTTCTATTATTTTCGCACCTTTTGATCCACTTTTAATTTGTGGAGTGTGCTAGAGCTCAATATTCTACGAGGAGTTTTGTGTGAGAGTCTCGAGTTGGGAATTTGATACGTGAACAGGCAAGGATGGGGCATGCCTCAATTGTGCAGAGAAATTGGGTTCCTTGCGCACAGCCCAACTTTGCGTGTGTTTTAGTCTCTGCGCCGGTTGCAAGCTTCAAAGTAGTACGGTTCAGGCGAGCACTGTCAAGTACCTCAGGCCTTTCAAGCCGTTTCAGAGTTACGAACCAGACGAGGCTTAGTCCTATGAAAATGTTGTCTCCACAATCAAGATACTCTGGTAATAGCGATGGCGGTGAGAGTGATTCAGATGGCAGGTCAGGGTGGAGCCCTCGTGATAAATTCGGGCTGTATCCTTGGGATCCGTCTTGGGATTCCCCAGAACGGGATTGTAAGGGTAATCTTAGGGTTTCATTTAATGTTGTAGAGACGAGTATCTCTTATAACTCCATTTTTTTATCCTATATGTAGGTGTGTTGTAGCTGTGACATGTGTGAAGCATTGTGGAGTTTTTGTACCTCAAAAGACAGGATGTATTTCGACAAAATGCTACAGATCTTAAAATACCATAAAACAATCAAAGATTTCAGGGCTTCATGTTTGATAATCGCCAATTCCGATTGCTGTCTTGATTCAACTTGGTGATGTAACTGGGAGTGGGATTTTGTTACAGATGTGGATTGGGTTCGAGAGGATACATTTACTTTCTTCACCACAGATGGGCTGGTGCGGATCGGGGGTTCAATTCGGCCATCATTTGGGGTTTGTCTTCTTTTCATCTGATGGCGTTGTTTAATGATACCCAACAATATGTTTCGTGTGATCCGTGGTATGACTTGCTTGCTTAATATTACACTGAAGTTGAGAGATTGATTGGCAGAAAAAACATCGGCTTAGAAGACGGCGTTACAAGGAAGAGGATTACATGGATCCGAAACAAGGCCTTTGTCTGGGTGCCATTTTCGATATTGCAGCAACCAATGTGAGTGACAATATTTGTGGGGTAATGGGTGACGAGTTCTGGTTGTAGCGTTCAGTTTGGCCACTTTTTTCTTGCAATGCCAAATTCATAAGCGTTCAGATTTAAAAAAAAATACTTACACAGGCAATGTGGAATGAATCCAAAAATAACTTGACGTTCTCTTCTCTGAAAAAATACTGTCTTGGCTAAGTTTTGCTCTAGATTTTCTTATTTCATGGAAGTGCTTGTGCTTTATTCTCCGGCCCATATGTGAGTCACATTTCGCATGCACTGTTTACACTATGATTAACAAAGATTGTGTCAGGGCTTGGACCGAGGGCGGAAGCTTTGTGTGGTTGGCTTCTGCCGATCTATTGAGATGCTGAACGATGTAGTGGAAGACACTGTTCTAGATTTAGGGGGCGAGGTGCCTTTTCCTTTCCCTGTATAATTTGATCCATAACACAAGCATACTTGTAAACTGTCAAGTAATGAATTGTCTGAGGAAACGATGACTTACCGGCACGCCTTGAACTTCGTGATATAGTATTTTTATTAACTGCACTTTCAGACGTTAGCTAGCTCTTCTAACTGGAGCTGTGGATGTCACTTGCAGGTGGTGATAGCAGAAAAAGCCACTACTGAAGGTCTACATGAAAAGCTGACGATGATGGTGGTCATGCCACTACTGTGGGGAGTACCTCCCGCGGTCGACACTCTGAACTACGCCATCAGGTCAGGTGGAGGAATTGTAGAAAAAACTTACAAGCAGTGGCACTTCTTGTAAATCTTATGTATATTTGCTGATCTTGCGACATTCCATTCTTGTTGTAATATATCTGTAGTATTTATCACGGTAGAAATCTAGCTTCTTGAAGGAGTATCTGCTATTGCAGACCGTAAGAAGGTGGACAAGGAAGTAGCCTTGATAAATTGTGATTAGTGTACTTTTCCTGTGTATTGTACCATGTTTTTGTACACTGCAACACTGTAAATACAACCCTCTATCTCAAGTTGGCACCCAATGATGGGGTTTATTCTTTTGACAATCGATATAGTACACTAATGTGTTTTGGTGACCCCGACCTCTGCATTTCATGTGTTCTGCCGAATTTTATCTTATTCATGTAACCTAAAATATAAAGGTGATAATCTTATACTCATTCGACTACCTGGAGGCTTTCAGTTGAACGCCATCGAAACCTAGATCGATCTTTGATTCCATAGTCAGTGTAGTCATTGCTTTTAAGCTTTTTGTTGAATGTTATGCTATGTATCCTGCGTTTTCCCCATGCACTTACCATTTCATAAAATGGAGAGTAATAATGCATCAATACTGCAAAACGTTAATGAATTGATTCGGAGTCTACGTCACCCAGGTTTTATTTCTGATATGGGCACTGTCTATCCAATGGCTGTTCAGAGATTGGACTGAATTAATCAATTATAGTAGTCATTGGTCAGTTGCGTCTCATCTCTCCACTTTCGAGGAAAAAGTCGCTGTAGACTTCGCCAATCAACAGACCACGGTGCACCAACTTTCCGGGTACAGTAAGACGATACATACTGTTGGAGCGGCAGGAGTGAGATGTGTATACATTCATTCATTCATACACACACACAATGTTGCCTTGCTAGTTAAGTTACACGTGTGTCAGTGTCCTCACCCTTTGCACAGGATCGTGCTATCTTATTGCTAATGTCGCACCTTTTGCAGTCATAAAACTTGGTTAGAGCATTAGCGTCTCACAAATGTAAGAGGTTTTGTTCATTTTCAATGAGTACAATCACACTTTATCTTACGGGAGCTGTGAGTGTTCTATAAGAGGATTGATGATTGGTTGAAGAATAATCGTACAAATAATGATACATTTTTCGCTATGGTGTATAAATCAATGTTGTCCATGTGTACTGTACACAGAAAATACTGGATATTGTACCATGTTTTTCTATCTTTAGAAGGATGCTGATTTCGGGAGTAGGCTACTCTTGTTGTCAAAAACAGACATGATAGGAGAAGTAATGAAAGAAACTCATCTGGACACCACCACCAGCAAGATAACCGACACATGATCTTTCTGTTAAAGACATACACTCAATATGATCCGCACGAAAAAGTCAAAAAAAAAAGACCAGAAGCATCCAAAGCACCAGCCTCTACGCCGAAGGCATCCTACAACCACAATAATGCCAAGAGAATGAACACAACCAAGAGGTACTGGAAGAAAGGTCAATATCGACAGATAGGGGCTACCAAGTCCTGCGAATGGGGCCATGCAGATGTAGAACTCTGTGCATACAGAAGAGATCATGTAAAACACTGTGCAGACAGAAGAGATCATGTAAAACACTGTGCAGACAGAAGAGATCATGTAAAACACTGTGCAGACAGAGACACTGTACCCGAAGACTAGAGGGAACAATCAGTTCATTGAACAAAGAGAAAACAGTCGAGCTAAGTACTACGATGGGAACTAAAAGAGTCTCTAGTGTTTGATCAGAGAACGTCGTTCTCGTAATAGGGAACGAGATTGTAGCCGCAAAGGGGTGTCAACCTTAAGGGTGAGAGCAACTGCTAACACCCCCTTTTGCTCGCAACACTTCTTTAGCTCTATGATGGACCGAATTCGTCAAGTGCGGGATTTGTGAGCTACTGTTTCAAATTGTTTGTCCGAGTGGATGATCGATTCCATTGCTAGAGTTTAACAAGTGACTGGAATGAAGGCAGGCGCAGGTCGTCTTGGTGCTGTTTTGGTCGATTCTGTTGATTGTACACCAATGCGTCGCAGAGCTTGTTTCCGTTATGGATTGGATAGTTTTTCGTGAGCAGCATCGAGAACTGGTGAGGCCAGTGCGAACGTCGCCCAGTCGCCAGGATGGTCGGCACTCTTCTAGTTCGGCGGCAACCTCGTCAGCAGAGACTTCTTCGGATCTTGTGAGTTGTTACTATGCGGTGCGGATGGGAAGACGAACTGGAATTTTTACTTCTTTATCAAAGTGTAGGCGCAAAGTGGTTGGATACCGTGGCGCTTAGTATAAGAGCTTTAGGAGTAGAGAGGAGGCATGTGACTATCTAGGTTCTAGAACGTAGGATCTGGTGTCATCTATGTAGTAATTTGAGAGTAGGTTTGTATTTCATCAAGGGTTCTAAAGCTGATTTTGTTTTTGCATTTTTCAAACTTAGCTCTTCCAAGAGCTTTTGTTAATATATCCGCAATTTGATCGGCAGAAGTTTTGAATTGTACCTGGATTGTGCCTTCTTCCACTTTCTGTTGTGTGAAATGCAGATCTATTTCAAAATGTTTTTTTCTGTCATGGAAGACTGGGTTTTTTGTTACTTAGATAGAGCTCTGGTTATCACACCAAATAGTTGTGGGTGTGTCATCTCTGAATCCAAGTTCGTATATCAGTCAACGTAGCCAAATTGAATCCAAGTTCGTATATCAATCAACGTAGCCAAATTGCTTCACAGGTGGCTTTGGCTAGTGCCCTATATTTGGACTCACATGAGGATCGTGATGTGATGTTGTGTTTTTTTAACTGCACCACGAGATTGGGGAGCTGCCGCAAAGAAAGATGAATGCTCCGGTGGACGTGTGGTCATTTGGATTACCAGCGTAATCGGCATCAGAGTATCCCGAGAGGAGTAGTTCCTTCTCTTTCCAGATCGAGGGATGGGGCAAAAGGTACCATAGAAAGTCAAGTGTTGCCTGGAGATGTACCTGCTGGGGTCGATGCATGTAGCGGCTTACTACCGAGACTGCGAACCCGACGTCCCATCGGGACTTGAGCAAATAATTCAGTTCGCCGACCAAGCGTTGGAAGAGCCAGAGATCGACCGTTGAGAAATGCGGTTGATACGTCCATGTGATGGACGAGCCAACCATGATGAGCATAGAGAGCTGTGACCGTGCGAATCGACTCCAAGCGGACGGTAGGGGCAAACGTTTCTTGGTAGTCAATTCCATGGACGTGCTTTGTATCGGGCAATTTCTCCATGTGTATCGGGTTTTAATTTATAAACCCAGCGGGCCGTAATGGGGCGGATGCTGCTAGGTGGAGGGACAAGGTCCCACGTATGATTAGCTACGATAGCGGTATATTCTTTCATCATCGCTTGAGCCCATCGGGGATTGCCGGCAGCCTGGGTGTATGAGAGGGGCTTGCCACCCTCTTTAATTACGCCGACGAAGGTTTCGGTGAGATGAAGAGGAATGTAGTCAATGTGAAATGCTGGGGGGTGGCGAGGCCGATCAAAGTCGCGGGGGGGGGTCACAGGCTGTGGATGAAGAGGAAGATAGGGAGTTGAGGGAGTCCGACGATGCAGTCGGGACGAGAGCCATGCGCAGATCCAGCGGAGCGAGAAGAGGTGCGGGACTCGGTGTCCGACTTTGAGGATGTGGAATACCAAAAAAGAATACTTGCTGGGATGGAGGGAGAAGAGCAGGGGCCGCGCGTGGTGTGGATTCGTCGAGAGAGCGAATATCTTTGGAAACGATGACTCGGCGGGTAGATGGGTCAAAACAGCGAGCACCCTCGGTGTGGTCATCGGGACCTTGATAAATGCATTTTTGTGATCGACAGGCTAGTTCATGGCGGGTCGGGGTAGTATCGACTACAAAGACAGAGGTGCCGAACACCCCCAGAGATTGGATACATTTGGTTCTGCGGCAGCCTCTTTGTCGATAGGGGTCCGGGCAGCCCCGGATCCCATCTCTTCTTTTTTGTCAGTTTTTTTTGTTGATGAGTTCCGTGCTCCAATTTTTTTGGAAGCTTCCTTCTACTTGTTTTCTGTGGTTGTGCATTACGACGGAAGGAGGAGGCATTTCGTTCCGTGCCAACCCCGTTTTTGTGACGCCGGTGGTGTCGAAGGAGCGACTCCTATCCTTGCCTAAATACGGTTCCGGTGGCGGAAGTGCGGCGCTGGACTTCCTTTGGTGTTGTTCTGGAGTTGGAGACGTTGTCGCTGAAGTGGTGTTGTGTTGCGGTTTTGTGGTGTAGAGCGGCTGCGATCGGTTGTGAGTGTGCGGCATAGTGGTTTGGTGACGTCGACGGTTGAGCTGCAGGCCGTCGAAAAGTGTGATCGAGAATCTTGGTGTTGGTGACGGTGTCGCCGGATTACGTCATCTCCGTTTACTTCTATTCGGGTGCCAGATTGAATACATTGAGTTGACTTCCGCTCGTGAGTACGTGGATGTAGTGCTACTAGGAGAGCGGTATTTTTGCAGCTACTCGACCTAGTCATCGGTACTTCATCCGCGGCTGTTGCAACTGGTCGAAGGACAGGGCGTAGTCATTGTTCCAAGGATCATGCAAAGCTGGAGTCTGCGTTATGGAGCTGTTTCAAAAGCGTCCTGGAGCGATTGACGTTGCGGTGTTCTAGTGTGGACTGATGCGTGTCGATTGCAGTGTTAGATCTGGTTTTGCTGTGGCGTAAATTATCATTCAGCAGCGGGGCGGTATTCGAGTCCTTCCGCCCCTAGTGTCAACGTGCAAGGCTTCCATTCCAGCGTGGGAAGCTACGGTCGGGCTGAGCCATTCATCGTCGACGTGATCCGGCGCACTTGCAGCGCCGTCGATTTCAGCCGGTGATTGATTTGATTCGACTTTTACTCGTGTTCTTTTTATTTGGTGTTGCAAAGCTCGACCTCGACTCGTCTTGGCACTAGAGCGGCTAGTGAATCAAGTGTTGTGTTTTTTTCCTCGATGCGAATTTGGTATTGCCGTGGTGGCGTTGTATTGGATACCAGAGGCATTGGATCCAATTCATCTATTCTATTGAATTGTGATCTATATTCTTGAGGAGCTAGTGGGTCGTTTTTTCCCACAATTACAAGAGGGAGTTGGCCGACTTTCCTTCAATCGCGGCAATTAAACAGAGATTGGCAAGTTCCAAGTTGTTAAGTGGACCAGTCTGCAAGCGGCGATCTTGCGTTGCTTTTTGGTTTTCTTCCAAGCTGTTGTGGAAGGAATTCAGATTGGTGGCGGCCGATGTTCCAGCTATTGGGTTGATGATTCTTTGCTCCTTGCATTGAGCAAGCAGTAACTATTACTGCCAAATTAATCAAGAGGCTGGTTCCCACATCGAGCAAGTGCGGTTCGGTCTAGTGGTCAAAAAGCTCGCTAGTAGTGAATGTTGAGTATAGACGCATTTATATTTTATCACACAGCTTGGAAGTGTATCTGAGTTGCACGACCAGCCCATAGGACTAATAACTGTGTGGAATTAGACAACAAAGTAAACCGTATTGTAATTTCTTAATCATGCTCTCTCTTGTGCCAAGGCCAAGACTGGCTGGAGCGTGTTGGATCAATGTGATACCATTCTAATAAATTAATTTTTTAGTCCTTGAAGAAGTAGCTGCAAGCAATCTTGGAGGCAATTGTGCCCAACTTCATTCCGGGGGAGATTTCAAGAAGTGAACAACATTGTAGGCGAGTTTGCCATCCCAACAGGAGTGACATAGCTGCTCCAAGCTTATCACCTATATACCTTGGTACAAATTCTATGACAAATGAAGGCATATTTGGATGAACTATGTTGGATGCAATTTCATTCATGGATGAATGTTGTTGATGGATGAATTCTAATTTAAAAAGTATTAATATAAAAAATAAAAAAATAAAAAATATAATAAACATATAATATAAAAAATTAATAAAAAATTAATTAGATAAATAGAATTACCAATGCATGAATTTTTAGAGCAACTTATTAGTATAATTGTGAGTTGGTGGAGGAATTTGATTGAATTCTTAGGTGATTTAAGAAGAGTATAGAGTGATTTGATTAGGATTTAAATAATGGCTATAACTTCTAAAAATTTACATAGTTAATTTACTTATGATGAATTAGAATAAACTTCCAATTAATGGAGGTTTATTTTAGCTCACAATCTTTTTTTGAGAAAAGTCTCACTTATTTATTTGGCTTCATCATCATTTTTATTTTTTTTTTTATTTTTTATTTTTATTTTTAAACAAATTAATTAGAATACACTTATAATATTAGAGCTTTATCTTTTCTTAATTAAGAGTAGATTATTACTTTTTTCTTGATAAGACATAAGTATATTAAATGTTCTGGATTATTGACTTTTAATTTAATTTTGTTTTTAGCAATTTCTTTGTTCTTATTCTTTTCTTCTACTTGTTTTGAGTGATATTATATGTCTTCTTTATTCTAATATTATTATAGGAAAGATTATTAAAATAAAGAATATAATGGCACAAATATAAGAGCAATTGAAGGAATGAATATGAAGCAAGACTAATCTATCTCAAGTATCCAAGATCCTTATAATCTATTGCAATATAAAATCTCATCACAAGATAGGACAAACTGAACCAGAACAGAATTGAACAGAACTAAACAAAATGGAACACAGAAGACAAAATTGAGCAAACAAAAATAGAACAAAACAAAATTAAATAGGAAGATGCAAAACCAAACTTTACTAAGAGAGTAGGTTTGAAGCCATACTTAATCAAATGCTCTAAAAGGCCATGGCTAGTCCTATTTATACTTTGTTCTACCACCTTGGACTTTCTAGAATGTTCTTAGGTAGTGGATCTCATTTAGATAACCACCTTAAATTCCTTTTAGAAGGTTCTATGATAGGCTCCACCTAAATAACCATCCTAAGCTTTTTTTAGAAGGTTCCATAGTAGGCTCCACCTAAATAACTATCCTAAATTCTTTTTAAAATATTTTATGATAGGTCCTATCTAGTCCACTAATTTAATTCTAATTATAAAAACTCCCATGTTTCTAACTATCTATCCCTACACAAATATCTTATCTATACCATGTTACATTTAATCTTCTTCCACTAATGTGGAATGTTCTCGTTTTGCTCTTGATGGTATTTCCAAATTGTCTCTTAGCAATGGGTGAAGTTTTGTGCAAGTTCTCACGTTGCATCATGAATGGAATAACCTTTCGAAAGAACTTTTTACTAAAATTGTGGATGTCCACTACCACGTCAAAGGTAGCGATGCTTCAAAATGTTGTGCATTTCATATTCTTATTGGTCATCAATTACAACTAGTGGTAGTGGTGGTGGTTGGTGTCAATCTGTAAAGCACTTTGGCTTGGTATGAAATTCCTTCAATTGCAAAACATGGAAGACTAGATGGACCAAAATATATGGTAGAAGTTTGAGGCGCTATGCAACATTCAAAATCACTGCAAAAATGTAGAAAGATTCAAGCGACTAAGGTACTAGTTTATAGATTTGGATTGATGTAGCAAGTGGCAAGTTGGCATTGGAGGATAACACGTGATTATCCTTTCAAAATATCTTATATTGTCAATGATTATCTATATGTTGTTTCTATTGATTTTGTACAGTAAAGAGGCAGTGCTATGACTCTTATAAGGCCTTTGTAAGCCATTGTATAAATTCCTCTATTTTCTGGTTGTTGATGTTGATCGGACGATAGAGAGTTGCTAGCATAATCAGATGCTGATCGGTTTCATACTATAAATGCTTATATTATATAAAAATTAGTTAAAACATATTTTATATTCATAAGTCTTGAAGTGTGTTAGAATAGTTAATAAATTAATTTAAAGAGATTAGATATAAAAAACTTTATTTTGAATTTATTTATTTATATTATAATATTTAAATTATATAAGATTTAGATGTTTTGTATAGAGCTTTAAGAGAAGGTAGAAGCCCAAGGATGAAAATCTAAACTACTAGGAGGCTTATAGGAAGGAATGAAATCAAGACATGGTTGGATGAAGGCAAAGGGTAAAGATCTTTATTCCTATTGGTTAAAATCCATGTCCAATGGGCATTCAGTAGGCTGTTTGTGCCCGTAACAAGGGTTTTGGTGACTTCAGAAGAGGTTTGAGAATTAAAAGTATGGATATTAATGTTTAGAGTTTGTGCTACAATTTGGGCACAAAAATTAGTAAGTTTGGAGTTAGATTGAAGAAGTTATAGCCATTTAAAGTTAAGGTATCATTTTAAGATATATTCTTGCTCTTTTGAGCATACGAGGAGTTTTACAACAATTTTTGGAGATCAAAAGATGCAATTGAAATAACGATTTTATGACTTATATCTTTTATAATTTTTTTTTTATATTTGGAGTCCAAACAAAGAAGTTATAGAGAGTTGAAGTCAATGCATATTGTCACAGATATATGCATGTAAGCCAATAATTACATATATAAATAGGTAGAAGTAAGTAAAAATAGATAAAAGTAATTTAATTCTATAGTATTTAGTATGAAAGCTTCCTAGAAGCATTATAGATGCTGCTCTGACTTTATAGGTATCTTTAATTGAGTTTTTGGGATTAGAAAAGTGGTCAACAAGTTGACTATGTGCCATACATGTTGTTAGCTTGAAGACCAAGCTAACTATGTCGCCCACACATAGAAAAACTTGCCTTGTAAGTTAAGGCATGTGTCTTACAAAGTCAACACATATTGGAGGTCCTATAGAACGTCGCCACGTAGCCTCTAATTAGATAGTATATATAGAAACAAGAGTGAAGTCTTCTTCATTCTTATCAACTCCTTTCTTGCTTCCAATCTAGTTTCAAGGATCTCTAGTTTTCTTGGCTTTTGGCAATAACCATTCCAGTTTCTTTCTTAATATATATATATATATATATTAAGTTATTTCTATTTTGTCATCTTTCTATGAGTAAAGGCTCACTTCTCTGAATTACTTTTTCATCAAGTTCTTGTCCTTGACAGATTGACAAGAGTACACCTACAATATCAGAGCTTTTTCATCAAGTTCTTGTCCTTGACAGATTGACAAGAATACACCTACAATATCTAATCTTGATTAAGAGTGGATTGCTCATTTTTTTTGATAAGACACAAGCATATTAGAAGTTGCAGATTACCCTCTTCTAAACTGATATTGTCCTTTGTATTTTCTTTGTTCTCAAGTCTTCTCTTCTATTTGTCTTGAGTAATATTAGACATCTTCTCTTTTCTAAGTGTTATCATGGCAAAACTTCTTGAAATGAAGAGTGCAATGGCACAAATGCAAGAGCAATTAAGGGAGTTAATGCTTGTGATGTATCAATTCAATTTACCACTACAATGAGCAACAAGATTGGCAAGATGTGAAGATATAGAAATGATTGGAGCTGCTTCAATATCTGCACCAAATCATGTCCCTTCTATTATGGTGGAACGTCCTTCCAATGTTAGAGAACTAAGAATTGACCTACCCGAGAAGTTTAATGGCACCAAATCCAAGTTTCGAGGATTTATCAATCAAGTGCAACTTGTGATTGAACTTCAACCCCAAAGCTATCCAACTCCAAGATCGCAAGTTAGATTCATTGGTACGCTTCTTTCAGGTTCAGCACTATCGTGGTTTTCATCTTTTCTTGAATGACGAGATCTAATATTGAATAATCTAGAGGCTTTTCTGGCGGAGTTTCGACCTATATATGGAGAACATGATGCAATTTGTGTTGCAACCAATAAGATTTGTATTTTACGACAAGACAATTAATTAGTAACGTTCTATGCTTCTCAATTTTGACAACTTGTAACTGATATCAAGTGGGATGATGCTGCACTTATTAGCCAATATCTCTATGGATTACAATATGAGGTAAAAAAATTAATGCTCAACTTACTTAATCTTGAAACATTGAGTCAAGCAATTGACTTTGTTGTGAAGTGCGACAATCGCCTTTTTGAATTTCAATCTGAGAACCGTACAAGTGAATTTTAACGTAACTATAATTCAATGGCAACACCAACATCTCTTCAACACATACATTCGAAAGTAGAGGATATGCAAATTGATGCAATACATTTCAAATCTCTTACTAAGCAAGAAAAGACTCGTTGTCATTAAGAAGGATTATGCTTATATTATAGAGAATCTAAGTACAATACTCAACATTGTCCAAAGAAGCGACGCAACCATAAAATGAGGAGTATGACGATCAAAGAAGATAGCATGTTGGAAAATGAATTTGTTCAGTTACAATAGGGACTGTGCAGTTGGAACCTTGTAGAACACCTAGTGAAGGTCCTATCCTCTCCTCAAAACCCTCTCCATGTTTTACGATAAATGTTATTCTAGGACCTAAACATCTCAAAGCCTTTGCCTTGCTAGATTCAAGAGCCTCAATATGTTTCTTGGATGAAAAATTTACTAAAAGATATAGCATATTTTTAGTAAAGAAAACTAAACTTATTCATGTAGAAGTCATAGATGGTCTTTTATTATCTTTTGGAGATGTTACTCATTAAACCCTTCCTATAGAAATAGCAACTAATGGTCATAGTAGCTTTGTAATATTTAGTATCATTAGATTTCCTTCTAATCTAGTCATTTTAGGTTTATTAT